TCGGCGCGACAACGCGAGAGAATTCTTCGCTGCCGATACGCCTTACAACGTTTACATCCCGCATTGTCCTCGCAAGGTCCGCCGAGGATCCAGTTCAATTTCGTCGGTTAAATCGATCCGAATTATTGATAAAGCTACGGAACAATGGTCAGCCATGTTTGCGCGGCGAACGAAATTATTTCGCCGACGACATTGTTTAACCGAGTATTAAATTTCGATCGATCGTACGCCACGAAATTTAATCAAAGCTGCGCATTCCGTTCAAGCTTGGAAATTTCGTGCCGACGAATCTAGCGGAGCTCGAAAAATTCTATTCCCATCAGACACCAGCCTCGAATTTTTCTATCGGTTCCTCGACCTATCCTCCCACAAAAGCATCGATAGCTGCAAGATTAACTCCTTAAAAATCGAATCATTATACAAAAATCGGTCACGAATTCCCAAATTTTTTACCATCAATTTAGTTCTTATTGGGAGGATATTTTCAGGCTTTATTAGGGTGCGATGGTCGAAGTAGAGTTGTTAAGATAGTCAGCGAAGCATTCATTTAAACACTAGTCTAGCATTCAATCAGTGATCAGTTAGAGTTGAGATCGAGTCAGTTCCAGTCTCTAATCAGAGGAAATTTTTAATCAGTTAAAGTACTCTTCAGCGTAATAGAGACTGTGTGACTCTACATATTAGAAAGAAGTATACTTTAAAAGATAACAGTGTCACGGTTTCGTGTAAACTCGTCAGATGTTAATGGAAATTTGACATAAAGTCGAGAGCAACGGCGTTAACATAGCCATAGTCATCGAGGGGTTAAGAAACGTCTGGTGACAATTTGTAGAGCACTCTTTATAAGGGATGCACATCGGTCAGACTCCCTCTGTAAATGTACGATTTGGCCCAGAATGCCGCCATTCGAGGGCAGGAAGAAAGGGAGCAATCGAATGCATCCCCCTGGCCTTCTTTCCCGAGCTAGCAGACACACCAGAATATTTCCCTCCTTCCCGCCCCGTTATCAATACTGTTAATCTATTCGTTGGTTCTTGGCGCCGGCTCAGACGGGAGATTGCCACGGTCAACAGCGTAATTCAGTCGTCAGCCGTGCGACCCTTTCCTCACGCTAGATTTAACCAACTCGACGGTGTATGATTAGCGATGACGGAACATGCGGATGGAAAAACAGCGACATCGTTGCTGTCTCGTCGAGCTGGAAGGGAAGATTCGAACGATCAAAAAGAATCGGCTGAATAAACAGCGTGGATCGACTCGCGTGTCGACGCTCGGCTTCCTGTCGTTATCCTATTTATCCACTCGCTGTGAACAGGTGATTTATCGCGTTCGGGGCTTGTAATTTCCGAGTATGCAGATGACAGGCCACTTGCGACGATTGTGAAGTTTCCAGGTAGAGAGGGGGTAGTTTTTGACGCGAGGAGGGTTAATTGATATATGTACGAGAAATTACTGTTTTTCGCGTTGCGTGATATAGACTTACCGAAAGTTAGGGAAATAACTCGTGAAAAGTCAGCTCGTTCCTTCAATCTATTTCTTTTAAAATATTTGCCTTCGAGGAATTCTCGTTTTCCAATTTGACTGACTCCTCTGCGAATGCAGACGCGTGGAAATCATCGATCCACGAAGGGTAAACGTGAAATGCGTGGAAGATCTCTCACGAGATGTCTGTCGATGATCGCATGGGACTGTTAATTAACGTATCAGTTTGCTATTTAATTGCGAGATGCAGCGGTTCTATTACTTTCGCGAGACGCCAAAGCGACGCTTTTAAGAGAGACATTCAGCTGATTGAATCGTCGGGTGGCAGGCGAGATGCAGGTTAATTGAACGAAACGCGAGCACCTTTGAATTAACGGGTAAATGACTGGCTTGGAATCGAAGCGTTTAAAGGGACCTCGGGAAAGAAGAAGCTACGTCGTTCGGTTAAATAATGGCGGTGACGCGAAAGGGACAATCCTCGTGGATAAGAGTTCCGATCGTAATTCGTCGATAATCGTTCTGTAATGGCGAATCGAAGCAGGGACGTTTCCCTTGTCAGTGACGAAATTCTTCCAACGATGAATGCTGGTAATTTAGAAGCATTTCCAATGTTGCAGGCTCTGCAGACGATGCGGGTTGCTTCGCTGAGAAAGCACGTGATCGTTTACGACATCCTCCAAGGGATAACCTACTCACGGCTGGGATTAAAATTCATCGCCATGTGCTTCTAACAAGTGAGTAACAAGAAAAGAGGGTGAAAGCTTTTTTAGCTTATTTTTCACCCTTTAACGAATGTTGCCCGCGTTGTAGTAATATTTATCAACCAGGTTAATACTTTTTAGTTCAGGGTCGAAACAAAACAAATCACAGGAGAGCAATTTAAAAAATATAGCCATTTTGGAACATTTAAATTACATCGTCGACGACGTTAGTGTCCTTGGATCGTTATCGATAGGCAATGTACCTTGAAGATCAGAAGGGATCACTGATTTCGCATTATTAGTGCTTAAGGTCACAGATGGGCTATAAAGCCCACGATATTCATGGCGAAAATTAGGGGAAGATCCCGAATGATAATCGAGGTTATAATAAGGTCGTAGAGTGCATAGTCGAGGTTAACCGAAGGTCAGTGATGGTGGTCGAGGTTTCGTCGGTAATATTTGTGTTCGTTCGAAGATCTTAAGGACTCGTAGAACTCGCGAGGTTGGTTTTGGAGGTCACTGGAAAGTCACGGGACTGAAAGTTCCTCGAGGAAGGCCGGAGCCATCGAGACTTTATCACTCATGCTCGGAGGCATCGTCAAGCTCTCCTGTCGTGTTTACCGAGACATATCGCGCGTGTCGGTTATTAAAGATAAAAGAGGGGTGGCCGTATTTGATCGGTGTATTGTTTTTTCAAAGTATACCGTTCAGAAACCATCGCATCTTCTCCAACGATCCAACGTTATTCCCGACACACGCTAAACCAAGGAGCTTCGCGCAATTTTATCTATAACATCCCTCTCTGTATGCATCCTAATGTTCCCCGCTGGCCTCAAATTATCATAGAAAGTACATAGACTAGGACCATTACCATACAACTTGCACCGCCGCAATCCAGCTACGTCTTCCCTCCCTTTTGCGGAACGAGCCCAGTCGTTCAAGAGTGAATATCAAATTCACCTCCTCCGCGCGATTCAGGGGTTATAACGACAATGATACCTGAAACCGGTCCGAGGCCGAAATATCGAAGGGATGCAGACCTAACCCACGACGAATCGATTTCGTTTGCGGTATTATAACGTGGTTACAAAGTTACCATGTGTGTTTTCGATTGTACGTTTGCCCGTTAACTTTTAAAAAACGAATACCACGGTGTAATATAATTCTTTCATTTATTAGATCGAATGCGTGTATTATAACAGAATTTAATTTTTATGTCTTCATGGTCGTTGATCATATTTTCTTATCCAAAGAATTTTCTTCCATTTGCTATTTTCAATCGTTATCTTTGATGCTGTTGGCAGGGAAACCGACAGGGTTAGAAAAGGAAAGGATGCGTTTCGTTCTGGGTCTGCTAGAGGACTCTTCTACCTAGCAGGACCTAGCTGGACCTGAGGCTACCTAGCCTCTGACATCAGTGGCAGGATAAGAACTTCTATGTATAGGAAGCAGCATCGATGCGTGATCGAGTACTTTGGAGATACTTCGAACCTCCTCCAATCTTTTTGGCGATGGCTGCAAGGCGACCGTCGCGTCTTCGTTTCTCGTCTGCAGTGGATCAAAGGTACGTCGTAAATTAAAGAATCGAGGTAGCAGTCGAGACGAAACGCGTCCGATCGAGTCACCGTGGCTGAGTTTTACTACGTTACATTCCGGAAGACTGTTAATTCCGTCGCGAGAGTTTGACTTTGAAAAGTTTCGTATAGATTTGCATAAGAAACGCGCCAGGTTTCAACGCTCGACTAACGAGGCAAACTGATCGCAAAGTTGGTCGGCTGAATCGATTAAAAAGTTGCCAAGAAAGCACGTAGCCGTGCCCGCCTTGTTGCGCTCGCGAAATTCCCGGTTTCCGAGATGGAGACCGCCTCCTGATGGCGTGCTACGTTTCCCGGGATAGGATTACGGCGAACATTCGAGGGAATCGAACGCGTTTAAAGTTTTCCAAGTGTCGATGAAGTACATTCTTACCCTGTTTATGCAAATGCTCGCAATTCGATTAAGAATACAATTTCACCTGCTCCTCGTTCTTTTCTCGTGAGCCTTACTTTCGCAAGGATTCCTTTTACGCGGAGTTAGGCATGATGTAGAAATAGTCCGTGTAGAGAGTCAAAGATATTTACGGAATATTGGATCTCCTTAAAAGGAAGAAAGGTATCGGTGAACCAAAAGTAGTTCGTTTCACGAAGTTTAATAATCCTATGAAGTACTTTGGTACTTCGAGATCTGAGACTCTTACGACAGGATATTACGTAGTTATCGCAGTTAAGTCTTTGGGGATGAAAAATATATTTGAAAATAAATGTGTCCTCGTGTCAGTTTCATTAGAAGTTACATGCAAAATGGACGACTACTTGTAGGAGTTAGTATATTTCCTTTTTAAATCGAGATTACGCGTTAACTGATTATGATTGAATATAAAAATTTACGTACTTTTGTTTAGAGGTATAGGAAACGTTTTTAAGTCTTAATTTGTGTATTCAGATATAATACCGAATAAAATCCGCGAGGAAATCAGTTATCATCGATCATAGCACATTTCGTTGCGATTCAAATTATCCTAACATCCAACTCAACCAAAATTATACATCAATTGATTACAAGCCTTCACGAGGATTGACATATTTCTTTCAAAGCAACCTGATTTACAATTGGAAAATTCAATATCGATACTCACCTTCTAACACCCCCCAAAATTCACGAAATAAATGATCATGGATACTCTATTCTACCAGGTAAAATTCGCGCGAAAATGAATCATCCCCAAACACGATTACGAAAAATTCGAAAGAAGCAAATGTTCGTTAAAAGTAAACTCACCTTGGTGTAGACGTTGGCGCTGGACAGTTCGTTCTCGATGACCATCACGATGATGCCGAACATGCCCATGACGAGCGCGTAGTCGCTGATGCGTTTCCGCTTCTCGAACAGGGCCTTCCGTCTGCCCAGCCGGTAGCCGACGTTCGGTTTGTGCTTGGAGCCCGGCCCTATGCTGCCCGATGGGCCCTTCACCTGGCCACCGGCGGCCAGCACGCGGTCGTCCACGTACCGTGGGTACTCCGAGTGGACGCCGACCAGAGCGATACCGGCGTCCTCGCCGGTTCCGGTAGCGCCGCCGCTACCGCAACCAGCACCCCCGCCGCCGCCCCCCACGCCGCCCCCACCGGCCACGCCGCCGCTGTTCTTCATCGCTCCCGGGATCGAGAGTGTCGACACTGGCTTCCGTAGCTGGAACAACCACGATCAATGTGTTAACGACACCTATGCTGCACAGATTGATTTATATCCGTGACTCGAATGCCGATGCCGGAATGACAATGGCGGTGTCTCTCGGGATAGGTCGGCTCGGAGGGACGTTAGAAGGAGTGGCTGACAGGGGATGCTTCCAGTACAGCCTTTGGTAGGTTGTCTTTGAAGATTGGACGAAGGAGTGACTCGTGGTTCATCTATCACTGTGTAAGTTTTATAGAAAATGCCATAAATTAGTTCGGAAGTGTACTTTCGTTACATTGGCATGACGCAAGTGTTTGGTTCTTTGGTTCTAGGTTGCTCGTGGATACAGCAGAGATCAGGAAAAGTCGGTTGGTACTGCCGTAGAGTAATACATGGCGGAACGTTGTGACGTGGATTAATTGAATTATAAAGTAGTGTATATATCGCGTAGGTATATAATCCTTCATACGAAACGATTACAGAGGGCTGTATTTTCGGAGACAGATGACAAATGGAGCGAGATCGTGGTACGAGAGGGCTTCGACGCGTCGAACCAACGCCGGAAATAATGTCCCTTCGAAACAGGGCTGACAGGAAGAACGCCACTGTCTCGGAACCGTCAAACCGAACGGAGCTTTTCTAGGTTAATGCCACTAGGGTCCTCCCGAGTGGAGAAATAAAGCAGCGCTGGTTGCGGAAGAAAGGCGCGAGCATATGGTGGCAAACTGTTTACCGGGACGTAACCTCGTCACACGGGAAGCGGTTAGAACGCGGCTGAAGACGCTGTGACATTAACGAAGGCATAAAACCTCGCTGCAAAATGGACTCCGTGGTACCACGGAAAGGTGACGTTAACCTTCGCGTAGAGATCGAACTCACCTAAACCATCTCGACCAATTCCAACCACTTAGACCACTTCGTTCTCGGTTCGAGCACATTACAGACCTTCGATTAACACGTTTGCCCCGGTACCATCAACCTTGTATCTTTATTCTGGGAAACAATGTAACCTATAAAGGAATAACCATAAACTCGTGGTTCTGATAGCGACGAAGCTCCGTGGAAACTCGTTTCGATTAATTGTAAGACACACGGGCTAATCAATGGACGAAGTATCGGTCATTTCCCGATGACCTGGAATTATTACCTAATAAAACGTTTATCCATTCGAGCAGGCACGTTGCTATTTCTCTCTTTCGTTGGCCAACGAAATTTGCACCGATATCAGTAAAATGTCAAGTGGTCGTAAAGGTCGGCCCCGATATCGTCTTATTTCATTTCTGCCGAACGCAGCGGTCGTTGTGCTCGTTTTTACGGTTAACGACGCGCGCGCAAAGGAAAAGGCGGAATCGAAATGCAAACAGGAAGCGATAGAGCGGACCGGAGAACGGCGACGACCGCCTCGCCGTGCGCGTAGGTTACAGTTTGGAGGCCATTTTGTTTAGAGACGAAATAAGATCGCGATGGTAAAGTTTACGAAGGGGAGGATATTCGCGGTCGTTCGATCGTGGGGCTGTCGAAATAAAGAGGGACGAAATGAACGGAGACGTTGGAAACGCTGGAATTCAGAGCGACGAAGAGCCGCGGCGTTTACGAGCGTTCCACGATTCGGTTCGCGCGGAAATACGGTCAAGGAGACGACGCCGACGATCGGCGTCGCCCCGCGTGTCTCTTGGAATCTCGATTGGCGAAGATCGATCGTGTTTAGTGCCCGCTGGTAAATGGTGAGCATTCGAAGCCGAAATCGACTTCGAACGGGATATGGCTTTATTTTAAGAGCACGTCGCGTAGATAAAATAAATCAAAATCTTGCGTAAGACGATGCCGTATGATGATTCCGTGAAATGGGGTTCGTAACAGCGCGAGTAATTTCGAGTTTACATATGTAATTACACTGTCCAATAAATTTTAACAATTTCTTCAATTTTTAACCCTTTGCACTCGAGAGGTGAACTTCAGCCACCATTTCATAAAATTTGGAAGATCGATATTAATTAATATGTCAAATTTAATGTAACGTGACAGTGTGCAAGGTATCGAAATCAAATAATTCTACAATTCTATTATTATACAATTCTTTATTTATTGCTCAAAAGAGTATCGTCAGTATTTTAGTAGAGAATCTTTGAATTTCTACTCTTCTCTAACCAAAAAATCGTCGAGTGCAAAGGGTTAATATATATTAGGTGAGTCTTGTTGAGTTTGTATTCCTGCACATGAATTCGTAATCGAATTGCTTTATTAGGTTTTCTAAAAAGGTACGAGTTTTGAATAAAATGATAGTAGGTTAGGGGGTTTATTCTTGTCTTATAAGAGAGGTGAAAGTATGCCTAGTTTATCAATGTTTATAATTTTAATTATTTATGCTGTTTAATAATTATAATTGGTCATCAAAGTTTGAAAATAACACCCAGAGCGTACTGTCTAAGCATATTCTTACATTTTTACAGAAAGGTTTTTATCTGACACGATTTTGGTACAGTATAGCGTATTCTGTAGACTTTTCTGAAGAAAAAGACATACAGAAACAATATTAGGATGATGTTCAATGTTGATAAGTCGGTAAAATATATATTGACAATTAGTAAGCGGGATTTTCCCGCAACGCAGCCATTGTTGGCTCATCTAGCTTCAACAGGGCCGTAGTCACGCGCAATCGACACCGAAATCAACGTCTGGTAGATTTCATTTTTTTATACGTATCACACGTATATGTTTTCATGTTAATTCTATATTATTCTATGTTGTCTATGTTATCATGTTAATACTATGTTCATTCTATATTAATAGCAATTATAAGAAATTTGTTTAAATCGTGATTTGAAATAGTTTCGTTATTCGCTACATAAATATCAATGACTTTTTAATATAAAGTAGTTAAAAAATAAACTCCCATCCAACTTTTAAGTTGAGAATGAGTTTTCTTACATTTTTATCGTTCGTGTAATACTTCATTTTTACTAAAAATATAGAGGAAATAAAAATATTTTGACATACATACATACATACATATACATACATATATATATATATATAGGTAAACTTATACCGTAAGTTTATAAATTATTACACTGATATATAATAACAAATTAATATTGTTAGTAACAAATTACACGCAACGTAAATTTATAATAAAAGTAAAAAAATTAATAAATTATTGCCTATAACATGACTTTGATAACGCACTTGTGGTAAAATGTACCAATACTTTGTAAAAATGTTTATAAATTATTATACTGATTGTTAATAACAAATTAATATTGTTAATAACAAATTGTTCGCAATGTGAATTTATAGTAAAAGTAAAAAAATTAATAAATTATTGGCTATGAGAGTGGAAAATTAATAATTAATAAAATCCGCGAAGTTCGAAAATTTTCGATCGGAGTGGGGGATTTGGCCGATCGGCGGCTATATAAAGGGCGACGCAACGCAGCAGAACTCATTTGTCGGTTTGGCATCGGAAGTGTAACATCTAAATTTTTCCGTGTGCGGGAACGGGAGGGGGTCCGAGTGAGGTTGGGATTGGCCCCCCCACCCACACCCCACTCCCTTAAACTATTTATTAATAATTTTATTTTTGTTTTCAGGTTTTAATTTCTTTCCTTTTCAGGAATTAATTATTTTTTATTTTTTTCAGATTTTCATTATTTTTCTTTTTTTTATTCCAGATGTTATTCTTCCTTTATATTTATATATATTTGGACATTCGAATATTTCGTATAATATTCGAATGTCTCGTCGTTGGTTTCTTTATGTCTCATCGTTGGGTAGTCTGTGTCTCATTTTTGGGTTGTTCATCTCTCATCTTTGGGTTATTAATAATTTTCTTTCAGGTTTTAATTATTTCTTTTATTTCCAGGTTTAATTTATTCTTCCTTTTCCACATTTTATTTATTCGTTTCTATTCATATTCATTCGAACATTCGAATATTTCGTATAATATTCGAATGTTTCATCGTTGGATTGTCTCTGTCTTGCTCCTTCCATTTGGTTAACCTTCATGGTTTCTATTCGTTCTTTCTCCTTCCCCGTACTAATCCGTTTCCTTTCAAATTTATATTAACAATGATATATTGTGTTTCAGTTTTTAGATTTCTCAAGATTCTGAAGTTTCCTTAAGACTTCATTTGAAACATATCAATGAACGACGCGGGATGCGTTTAGACTTACGTAGACCTAAGTAATAAGATAGATGCCTAGACTAAGTACCATGTGCGCGCTATCCGTACAAAGGTATGCTACCTAACTTGGAGCGAAATATATAAATTCTCTATACTCCCTTATCCCACTCGTTTACCAAATAGAACATAAATGTTCTCGCGATAATCGCGATTGTTCTTAAGTACCGACTAGCCTGCGCGACGTACTCTCGTTTGCTCGATAACTCCGTGTTTCATAAGTCATCCAAACGACTCGTTCCGACACTCATCCTCGCCCCTGCCACCCTTGTCACGCGTCGGTTCGAGGGTGGTCGGCGGGCTGGCACTCATCTGGGTCAATTCGAGGGTCTGTCGGCCTTAGTCGTCCTGGGCACCAGCGCGTGCACGACCGGGGTATGGGCCCTGTAGCCGTGACACTGCATATGGGCCTGCGGTCAGACCCCATGGGATGATTAATTTCTCCCCCATGTGGCAGGGGCCTGCGTGACCGGCTACAGGGCCTCGCTAGGGACCCTCGGCTTGATTT